AAGAAGAACTGTTTTCTGTTGTGGATGAAAAAGAGTCATGTGATCTAATAAACTTCTGTTGTTAGTTAGCTAACAATTTTCCCTTTAGTTAGCTCTTCCATGCTCAGCAAATGGGTTTGCTATTTTTCCTTTAGACAAGTTGTTTTTCACATGTGCATATTTCACATACAGTATTTTGCAGGCTTTGTTTTTGATCAGTTATTTTCAACCTCATTGCTCCTCTCTGTGGGAAAGTGTGGCACCGTTAGCAAGTCTAATCTGTGCCTTGTCCCTGTCCCTTTCTCCACTGAGTTCTGTATGAAGACCCCGCCTTTCCCTCAAACTTGTCAACAGCTTAACTGGGCTCTCACATTCCACTTGGCTGCTTTATATTTTTCCCATCCTGGACCAGAGTGTTCAGCATGTTTATGAAAAGAGCCCCATTGTTCACTTTTTTCTAGATGTAAATAATTAGTTTCATTTTTTAAAAAGAAAAATTTGATCTCATCTTTACTTTTTTCTCAGCAGTATTAGAAAACATGTTCTCCTCTTTGAAGCTGTAGGAGTAAGTTAGCATATATTTTGTATTGCAAGGGCGCCCTGCTGTAAAGCTAATAGAGTACACAAGTGAGATACCCTGCCCAAGGGAGGGATTTACCAGAACTTCCTACCTGTGGGGTCACACATACTGGGAGAGCATGCCTCAGGCTAAGTTCAAAAATAGATGTTTGTTAAATGCTTTATAGTGGTGTATGGATTGTATTTTATAAGAGTATTTAAAATTCCCCAGTAACCTGTGTTTCCTTAAATTGGGATTTTGATGTATTGTGCAGCAAGGGAAAAGTTTCACCCATAATGCTCAGCCATTTTGATTAGTTTTGGCCAAGTTAAGTTAGAGCTTTTTTGTGTGTAGAAGAAAGCTGACCCCATTATATCTGCAGGAAAGTCACTGTTTATATTCTTGTCCTCTTTATGTCATTTTTTATCTGTCTTCTCATCATGCTCAGGGCATGCACACACACAAACAGATCTTAGGATTCCAGGCTCCCCTCTAAGCACATGGTCAGTGTGGTACCACAGTGATCACTGAAAACACGAGCTGCGCCCCAGTGCTGCTTCTCCAGGAAGCCCTCCATGCTAGAAAACAGCTGTGGTTCAACAACAAGAATGACACTAACTGAGGTCTGCAGGGTAGGGGGCTGCTCCCCATTGGCTCAAGAACAGAAATAAGTGTTGGCCACATCTTCCCTCATGATTTACTGTATTTTCCTCTTTACTAGTTCCGTCTCTGACAGTCGCAGTGCTTAAGTTAGAGTTTTTAAATCTTGTCTGAAAGTCTGATGCTTTCTAGCCAAGTAGATACTGAAGGATTTTTAAAGCTTCATTTCATTTTCTCGTGTTGTGGGTAGCGTGCAGGAGTCCCTAAAGGAAGGGATGGCAGCTTCCAGAACTGAAGGCTGGCACAGCTGGGTGGGTGCGTGTGCATGGGGGCTAGAAGTAGTGGCTTCCCAAATGATGAGTCTTTGTAGAACCTGACCCTGGAGGTGTTCTAATTAGCCTTGGAAACCCAAAGTACCCCACAGCATGATTTTGATACTAACAAGAGCAACAAGGAAATTGTGGCCTCCTCTCATGCCTAGGCTTGACAGCCTGCACTGCGTGCATGTACTATATGCAGAAACATCTGGGCCATTCAGTGGCACTTGCCTTGCCTCAAAATGGTTCAAGATATTTTCTGCCCATAACTATGCTATGCTGTAGGTGCCTGTTTTATCATTTATTTAGGGTATATCCTTATCTTCTAAAGCAAAGAATTCCAAAATGAGAATACTAATATTAAAGGGGCTGAGGAGGTGGCTCCATGGTAGAGCACACGCCCAGCATTATGAGGGTCTGGGTTCCACTCCCGGTAATACAAAAAAAGAGGAGGAGTAATAACATAACTTTTCAAGAGGGGCTCCTTGCAGATGTGTGGGAATGGTGCCCCTCAGCCAGTTCTCACCCAGGCTGTCATGTCCCATTGTGTACGACCAGTGGCTGTGGAGCATCTTGCCACCTCAGAGTCTGCACTTCACCTTCCCACTAGCTGAAAAGTGGCCTGCATCATAGAAGTTACTTGAAAGTCCAAAATGTGGGAGAGTGACTATTAAGCACGTGAAAAAAAATGACCTTACCAATAATTAAAGAAATTCAAATTAAAATAGTGAACAGTTATTTTCATTCACCTAATAAGAAAAAATTAATTATAATAAGTAGGAATAAAAACATTCAGCAAGACCAGCCATGCTCTGCATGACAGATGGAACAATAAATTAGAACACTTCTTCTGAGGTCAACTTATTAACAGACACCGTGATCTATTCATCCTTGTCCTAAGGGTTGTATAAATAGGAGAACCCTAATTTACCCTAAATAAATCTGCATTAAGTTGTTTCTCAGAGTCTGTTGGAATGGATTTATGTAAATGGCCCACACTGACACAAAAGTTACATAAGCTACATATGTGTTTGTATGCACATATAAGCATATATTTTTATATGTGCACATTCATACACATATGTATGATGGGGTGCTATTTATTGTGAAAAGTCAAGCCCTTGAGGAAGCACTGAAGACATGAAAATGTACTGGCTATGTTCAGTCTTCTCAGAATTCTGTCCTAGCTTCTTACAAATTATAACTTTGGAAAGTAGATTAATCTGTCTATGCCCCAGCTTCCTTTCTTTTCTTATCAAAGGGGCAAGTTTAAATGAAATAACTCCTGACTTGCTTAGCATTCTATCTGGCGTTGGCAGAAGTGACCGAGAGGTGTTGGCATCCTCCTCTGTAAAATGGACCGATGGTCATTCTTATGTGAGAGTATTGCTGTTATATCCAAAGTATGGAGCTGGACAGAGGCCCTAAGTGTGGATCTGGCACACAGCACCCAACATCTGAGTGTCAGCTGTCACTCAGACAGGTGTTGGGACACAGATGCCTGGGAGAGTACGAAGGCACTTGGAAGATCATACACACATACACATACACACACCACACACCCCAGAACATACATGTTGAAGTGACTAACTCTGAGTAGGGAGTGTACCAGTAGTTTTTGCCTTTGGTACTATCCTGTATTCTTTATTTTTTTATTTTTATTTATGAGAGAGAGAGAGAGAGAGAGAGAGAGAGAGAGAGAGAGAGAGAGAGAGAGAGGTGTGTGTGTGTGGCCAGCTCAGCCCACCAGGGGGCGGGGCTGGCTGGCATGTGGTGCTGGGGGATTGAACCGCGGTCCCTGATGCCTTGCCAAGCTTGTTCTAAGTAGGTGCCTTAGACCACTGAGCCATCTCTCCAGCCCCTATCCTGTATTCTTTAAACATTTGTTTTCAACAGTGAATATATTTGACTTTAATAATTCGCAGAAGCAATGATTTTAGAGTTGAAGCATACTTCTCAGCCTGTGCTTAAACAGTTGAGTCTCCTGAGCTTGCCCCAGTCGTAGATTTCTGCGTCCTAGTCCTGGAGTCTGGCCGTGTGCAGGTGGTGTCTCCATTCATGCAGTGTGGTGCTGCTGTTCAGATACTCCCTTCACATGCACTAGAACAGTGATCCTAACCCCTGGTGTATGCTAGCATCACCTGGGGAGGTTTCAGAATATGCCTGCATGGGGCCTTCTAGACCAGTCAAACCCAAATCCCTGGGAGTGGTCCCTGGTGTCCACATTTTTTAAGGGCTGACAGCAATATTCTGGATAGGGCAAGTAGTGTACATCAGCCTGCTTCATAGGGCCTTTCCTGCCTCCCATGAGCGGAGGCCCTTCCTCTGGCCAGTCTCAGGGCTAGTCCTAACAGTATTTCCTAGCCATCTAGGAGAATCCCGGAGAGCTTGTTAAAAATGCAGATCTTAGGGCCAGATGCAGAGCTCACAGGGAGAGACTGGATACTGCATATATAGTCATGTGTTGCACTTCTGGGAGACACATCAGTAGGTGATTTTGACATAGATGGCATACTTGATAAATGAACTTGAAACTGAATATAGAAAGTGTGAGGCACTGCCCGTATGGTGCAGTGTGCTCTCTCACAATCAGTCTGTTTGACATGAATACAAGACATATGATAAAAGTGGTGTAGTACATACATAAATGCATGACACAGTCACTGATGACCATGTCCAGTATGATGTCTACATAGTCACACGTGGTACAAGACCAGCTTGAAAGTAGGTATGTTTTCATCTATCTCACCACAAGTAGCAAGTTACATCATGATGTTCCGATAGCTATGAGGTCAGTAAGTGTTAGAGATTTTCCAGCTCCATTATAATCTGAAGGGACCATTGGCAGACATGTAGTCTGAAGTGTAATTATGTGGGATATGTCTCACTGGGAACACCTGGGGAAAGCTGAGGGATTTTCATGTCCAGAATTCTACCCTAACACACCCAGGGTATAATCTGGACCACTGGGATTTCTTAAGGCTCTGCAGGTTTGGGTGTGGTTAATAGCCATCCACAAAGTCCCAGGGCCAGGAACATCCCTTGATGGAAACCTGTCAAAGGTGTGACATATGGAGCCCTGTCCAGTCACAGTGCATCACGGACTCAGTGTTGCACTTGTCATTCTTCATCTTGGGAACCTTTTGCTGATGCTGATGCTCACAGAAGTTTAGGATCACTGATGTTAAAGGTAGTTCCCAGTAGGTCAGACTGAGCCATGCGTGTACTGCCAGTGGTCCAGGAGCACTCTGTGAATACTCTTAAACCCTTGGGTGTTTTAAGGCTGTAAGGACCTTGCAGTAGAGTACAACCAGCATCCCTGGCGAGCATATGGGCAGCCTGGCTCTGCCATTCCAGAGCCCTTGCTGGCAAAACATGTGGCTGTTTTCCAGCCATAGTGCATTTGTTTTCCTTAAGTTGGCAAGTAGTGTGGGAACCAATTTTTCAGAGGTGCTGATCTAAGTTTGACCTGAAAGACCAGTCACAGCAGCAAGAAGGACACATTTCTTCTGTGAATCACATCTATGCCTCTTTTTGTTTTGCAGATTTTATAATCAACCTGCCTTAGTATGGTCCGCTCAGTCCCAGATCAGTAATGACCAGGCCTGTTGGAGAAGAGGTCAGAAGACCAGCAGCTTGCTGGGCCCACGGGATCGGGATGACCTGGAGGTCAGAGGAATGGCCCAACCCCACAGTCAGCCCATGCACGTGAGAGAGGGTCCGTGGGATGTTGGAGGAAGGACAGAGCATGTGATGAAGAAAGCAGTTTGGGAAGACAAGTCAAGGATGGCAGGTCCTGCCAAGTGGCAGAATGTAAGCCTCGAAAGCTGGAACCAGCCAAGGAAGTTGGGGAGGCATATGTCTGATGGTGGTGGGGAGAAACTGTTTCAGGATCTGTATCCGTTCACTCAAGGAGAACATGCACTGACTTCTCAGAACAAAAAGAAATCCCAGTCCTTACCTCGAGTTCTTTCTCCTGAGAGCCTGAGTTATATGGAAATTCCCATTCCACTAAGTGATGGACACTTACCAGGCATTCCCAAAGTGCCCTCATATCCTCCCAATTGTGCGCCTCATTCAGAATCAACCAAAAACTCTGAAAAGGCTGGTTCCTCAGCCCCCTTCCCCCGGCCTAAGTTTGGGAGACCCCTCAAGCCTCTGTACAGCTCACACGCACAGCCCAGGGGCAGGGAATGGGGCAACCTTCAGGATGGCCAGCAGATGGACCTGCAGGGTTCCTGCTTGGCCAGAACCAGCAACCCTAGGCATGAGCCCAGTGTGCCCGACTGTGGCTTGGAGCCCCCAGTTTATGTGCCTCCACCTTCATACAGATCACCCCCCCAGCACATCCCAAATCCATACCTGGAAGACCCGGTGCCCAGACATGTGAGTGATGGCCATGGCCCACAGTACCAGCCCACTGAAAAGCCTGGGGCCAGTAGTCCACTTCCTCCTAGCTTCCCCAGAACTGGGAACGAATATGGTGCAAGCCCAGGCTCTCCACCAACTTTCCCTCCACATCCTCATCCTGTCACTGCCTATGAAGGCTCTGTTCAGTACATTCCCTTTGATGATCCACGGATCCGCCACATCAAACTAGCTCAGCCTCTGGGTTTCTATGAAGAAGTGAAGCCTGATGATAGTTATTATGATGCTTGTCCTGCGCCTGCCCCGGAGCCAGCTCAGGAGAAAAGGCACCATGATGGTGCCACACTGAATGCTCAGAGCCTGACACCCCCACTGGGGACTGAGAGGGGACCAGCCTTTGTCGACCCTGGCCCACCGTGGCTCTGGGGCCAGCTCCTGAGGGATGGAGAACATGCAGGCTTTCCTGACCAAAGAGAACACTGTGTTGCGAGAGGCCAGCAGGCCCCAGGGGAAGGCAGCCAGCATGGCCATGCAGGGGGCCACGTTTCCTCCCCAGACGCACAAGGCAGTGAGAGGACCTACGAAACCCAGACCAAGCTTAGAATGTTTGAAACTGGGATACAGACCAAGAAAAGTTCAAAGAAAAAAACAAATGAAACTATATTTTGTTTGGTTTCCATCCCAGTTAAATCAGAATCCCATCTGCCAGAGATAGATACGAACAACAATGACTTGAAACAGAGTGCTGATAAAAAGCCAGGGACTGATAAGAGCCTAGCCTTGCAAGAACAAAGTCTACTGAGCATGTCTTCCACTGACCTGGAGTTGCAAGCACTCACAAGAAGCATGGCTGGAAAAACAGAGTTCCCAAAGCAAGATCTGGGGGAACCAGAAGGAGACAAACAAACAGATGACCTCAGATTCATCCACCTTGCAAAACACAGAGAGCTCAAGTTCTCTGGCTCGTGGCCAGGACACCAGTACCGGGACCAGCAAACACAAACCAGCTTCCCTGAAGAATCTAAAAGTTCACAGCTCCTCCCTGCTTCAACACCGGGCGAGTTGAGTAGCACAGCCCCAACCCCAAAATGTTTAGACCCCACTGACACTCACATGCATGTGCCATTCCAGCCCAGTGACCAAAAACAGAAGACATATGCTCCTAACCTAAAAGGCCAGGTTTCCCTCAGCCCATCCAGCAACAGTGCTTTTTCAAGGACTTCCCTATCCACCAGTCAGGCACCTGTGCCAAAAGCTGGCCAGAGTCAGCCCTGCCTGGATGTCCATGGACAGGAAGCCAGCCCTGTCCTCAAACCAGAGGTGGTGAAGGGGGAGCCCACAGCAGGCCCCTGCAACAGTAAGCAACTGTTTGGTCAGTTTCTTCTGAAACCAGTTAGCCGGCGCCCCTGGGATCTGATCAGTCAGCTAGAGAGCTTTAATAAGGAGCTTCAGGAAGAGGAAGACAGCCCTGATGGTAGCAGTGGCAGCAGCAGTGAGGAAAATGAGATAGAACGACAGGAAGACTGTGTTGGTTCTAGGCCAAGGAACTGGGGCTTCTGTGAAGACAGCCAGGAAAAGAGAGTCAAGCTGCAGCCAAGGGAATTGGCGCTGGAAGACCCAGAATGCTGGTCAGGAAGAGTGGAAAGTGAGCCGGAGAGCTGGAGCGAGGCGCTGAAGGCTGGCCGCCTGCCTGCCCGTCCTCAGTCCCCCGGCTTCTCACAGGTGAAAGTTGGCACAGGTGACCCTTTTGAGTCAGCAGATGAAAATTTGGTGACAGAGAAGCGGAAGCAGGGGATTATAAATGGAATAGATGAGCTTGAAGTCAGCCCAGGTCCTGTGAGAAGGGTGATATCTTCAAGACCGAGTGACAGAATCCCCGTTGTCCCTTCCTGGCTGGCTGAACCAAGGGAGCCAGCAGCAAGTGAGAAACTCACTGATGCTTTAAGTTCTGCGCAGCTGAGCAGAGAGGTCCCTCTGGAGGTTGACAGTGCTGAGGAAAGGGATACAGGGGTCCTGCTAACCCTTACCAACAAAAGCCGAGGCCTCTCTGCACCAGACTTGAGGTCTGTTGGGCTCATGATGAGACCTGAACCGAGTGCCAGTGAGTTAGACAGGCCTCTGGGTGAAGGGAGTACAGTAGAAATCCCCCCAAGCGAGTCACTGCAGGCGAGGGCAGCAAGGATCCTGGGCATTGAGGTGGCTATGGAGTCCCTGCTGCCAGGTACCAGGACAGCAGGACCTAACCAGTCACCTGAGCCTGATGCAAGTGCCTGCAGCCTGGCTCCTCCCAGGGAAGAGCCCTTACCCAGCTCAGCAACGTCCTTCAGCCCCACAGCGACCACAGATTCCTTCTATGGCAGAAGGAAGTGTGGCTGGACCCAGAGCCCCCTCTTTGTCGGGGAAAGGGCTCCCCAGGTTTCTGAGCACTCAGTTATGGATGAGGTCCTCACCAGCCAAGACACTAGACCTGAGCCTCAGCTTGGCACCCTGGAGTCCAAGTCTTTGGAGCAAAAGCTTATGGGGCCAAAACCACCCTTCAGGTCCACATTGTTCCATGTTATAGAAAGGACCCCAAATGTGTCAGGTTTGGAAAAGAGGCTCAGAAGCCCTTCCAAAGTGATTGAAAGTTTGCAAGAGAAACTGACATCCCCCACAAGGAGGGCAGACCCTGGCCGCCTGATAAGAATGAAGGAGGTGAGCTCCGTATCACGGATGAGGAGCCTGAGCTTCCGAAACACAGAGTCCACAGAGGAGGCTGAGGAGCTGAAGGCCGAGAGGGGCCAGGCCTGGCAGCCCCAGGGCCCCACGCCCCTGAGCCGAGGGGACCAGGTGTGGAGAGTAGGGCACCCGCCTTCCATCTCCAAGGGCATCGTCACCTTTGAAGAAAATGGGCACGTGGTAGTCCAGAGCAAGAAGAGCAAGGGTCAAGACTTCTGGTGCCCAGGTGAGGAGTCAGGTGGAGGGCAGGTGTTTGGTGTTGATATAAGATGCTCAGATCTAACCCAGTCCAGGGCAGGCTGCTTGTGTCCATCTGCAGTTTTGCAAAAGAGAAAGTTGGCCCTGCAAATTGTTTCATCAAAAGATTCTTTGTTTTTAAAGGATTACACAGAAGCTTTCCTTAAAAATTAAGATCTTATCACATACTTTAAATGATTATGTCCTTATAGACAGCATGTAAACAACTATAAAGTTACCTAAAACAATAATGCAGTTGTTATAGTATGCTAGCATTGTTGCAGGTACTTTGATAAATCTCACTGAAGGCCACAGTATTTACACTGTTATTTTCTCCTCAGGTTTTAAGCATTCACCCAAAATAACTTCACTACTTTGTATTGATTTATTAAGAAAAATTATTCTGGGTTGACTTAATCAACTGTTGGCCCTATTCTGCTCTCTTAACATTTGTACCTTTTGCAATTCTTCGCTTTACTTGTTTTTCTGTTTTTCTGTCACACCATTCATGAAACTAAAAAGTTTAACAGACTGAATTAATAGCCCTTTCTCAGCATCTCACTCCAAAGCCACCCACTGTTTTAGTCCGTTTCTGTTACTATAATGGAATACTTGAGACTGGATGATTTTTAGAGAAAAAAAACCTTAATTTTGGCTTCCAGTTCTGAAGGCTAAGAAATTCAAAACCAGGAAGCCACATATAGTAAGGACTTTGTGCTGCTTTGTAACATGGTAGCAAAAACAGGTCAAGGAAGGGTGTGATGAAAAGTAGCTGCCGGGCAGGCTGGCTAGCAACAGCACACTCTGAAGATCCGCCACTCTCTGAGAACCACATTAATCCCTCCTCAAGAGCTCATCCCCTCTTACGGGCCTCATCACCTTTCCTTACTTTTTTCTGGGCTTATGCCCTTGGGCACTGTGCCAAGATGAGTTTTGATGGTGACAAACCATAGTCAAGTGACAGTGCATTCCCACTATGTTTCTTCACATCCCTTAAGTTTTTGTTGTTTTTGTTTTTTGTCTTTTTGAAACAGGGTCTTGCTCCATAGTCCAGACTGGCCTTGAGTTCACTTTGTAGCCCAGGATGGCCTTGAACTCTTGGCAATTTTCCTGTCTTGGGCCACCCATGTGCTGGGATTATCAGTGTGCACCACCGTGCTTGGCGTGTCCCGTTAGTTTTGATTGCTAAACCTCAGGGGAGGCTCTTGTAGGTCTCTGGGCTCTTTGTTCTCTTATCATTACATATTTCTGGAGCCTTCTCTGGTGAAATCACAAAGTAGGTTCCCAGTGACAGTGATTTTCCCCAAACTCAGTTCTGCCTGTTTGACTGTAACAGAAACAGGGCCAGAGAATTCTTGAAATCTCTGGACATTATCTTTAGAGACTGAAAATTAATAAATCCTTCATCTTATAAATGCCTACCAGTTGAGAAAAATATCCAGAAGTCCACATCACAAACTGCGAACCAGAAGTGACTTTGCATCCGGTAACCCAAGCCTTTGTAGAGTAAGGAAAAGCTGCACCTCCAGGCCAGGCTCTGCATCCTCTGAGACGCCCCACCAGCTGGTCCCACTCACTTCCACCCCTGCTTCTGTCTTCTGATTTGAAATCAAAGAATTTAGAGGTAGAAGTAAAGGGCAGTTGTTTCATCTAGAAGAAGCCTGACATTTTTATTAAGCAAAAATAGATGTACTTAGGAAACTTCGATTTTCCCACAAATGCACTGTTTTTTTTGAGGGCGTTCCCCAGTGGTGTTCTGGTCCTTGAGCAAAAGCAAAAGCCACTAGTGAACTGATCCATGTGTCATGATCCTTTTGGATCCTCAGACTTGACAGTTGGGTTTTTGCTGAGGAAGAGCGTATTAGGGATGTGGAATGTTTGCTGTTTTGGTGGAAAGGTATTTGATTGTGTACTTTTTAAGCTATTTGGATTGATTGATTGATTGATTTTAAATTGATGTACAATTTTACTTATACAGTATGATATTTTGACATTTAGTAGAGTTGTTAAATCCAGCTAATTAACAAATGTAGGTACATTTTTGTGGTCAGAATATTTCATAAATACATTTTTACATTTCCCAAGAAGAGTAATCATTAATGATAATGGGCATGCTGTATGACAGATGTGGTGAACTTATTCCTTCTACTTAACTATAATTTTGTATCCTTTAACCAGCATTTGCCCTTACCCTTTCCCAATTCCCCAGCCTCAAGGAATCACTTCGTCTCTTTAGTTCTGTGGAATCAATATCTATCTAT